CCAAGCTCACTACAGTTTATCTAAGTCCTAAGAATGAAAACATTTTCTTTTGTCTGTATATAAATAAAAGCTTTCAGTGATAAGAGAGACGAAGTAATTGTAGTTATTTGTGGTCTCAGAGTGAAGTTCAGTGTCGTAAGACAGCATATTCTTATGGACAAAACAAAATCGTGGTTCTGTACGATAGCTTTCTAAGCTTCCTTCTGAGGAAACCTCAGGGAGTAGATAACAGTTACCCTGCCGCTTGGCTTGAAGAGAGAAAAAGCCCCCTGCTTGTTTCTTGTTGCCAAAAACACCCAGAAAGTTTGCCCATTTTTTTCATTTTTAAGATCTTAGGCTCTTGGGGCTGGGAATCATTTTGGATGTCATACTTGTCTTAGCTCCTTATTTTTTCTGGCTGGGGAAAATGAGACCCAGAGTTGTTGAGTGACTTGCCTAGCCACACCCAACTAGTTCGTGTGAGAACTGAGATCAGATGCTCTGGTAAAGGTTTGGGAATCAGGAGGGTATAAGATTACAGTCCAGGCTGGTCCTTTCATTAACCTCTTCTTTGAACCTCAGTTCCAGGCTTCCTCATATGTTAGGTGGGAATAATATTAATATATGCCTTCTGCTATTAGAGGAAAAGAAAGCAGTTGAACTGAGGCTCTTCCAGAACTGAGTCCCAAAGACTTAACCCAATAAGGGTCCTGACTCCCATACTTACTCTAGGCCCCGTGCTCTTACCCTTGCCTCTTCTTCTACCCAAGCTGCTTCTTCTAGCAAAATCCTTTTTATAGGGATCACTCCACCCCAGGTCATTGGGTTCACCATCGGTAACCTGTGAAGACTGAGTTAATATAGAAAGTACCTGCACATCCATTTCTCTATCCATCACATCAGTGTTTCTTCCACCTTATCATCAAAGTCCCCTTTAAAGGGAAAATTTGATGCATCTATATCCTTGGGGTCCCAGGGCATAGCCTATGCAAGTGAGGAATTATTTTTTCAGTTGAAATCTCACATTATAATCTAAAGTATAAATATATTGTAATCTATTTCTTTAAACAAAAGCCTTACATTACTACCTGTTAAGTAATTTTATAGCCCTCTTCCAATAAATATTCTTGTAAAATTAACCCTCAGGAAGGTGCCCATCCTGTAGTTTATGGTGCCTCTGGAACACTGCCAACACCTCAGTTTAAAAGCCAGGCATTCGACCAACCTTACAAATGTCAGCCCTTGCATATAATTACAGGAACCTGTGAAAATGATCACCAGCAGCTCAGGGGCTCCAAGCTTCTGCAAATTCTGAATCCCTTAGCAAGCTGGAAAGATCTGCTGGCACTGCTGCGGGGAAAGGTTAGCATCTAAATTATTGCCTCTCAATTTTGCAAATATTTTATCCCTTCATCCATAGTGAAAGAGAAAGAGAAGTGTACAGAGTTGCTGTTTTCTCCTGTTGTATATAGAAGGAAATGAGGACTCATCAGCTTTTTTCATCCTTCATGAAACAATGAAAATATGCCTCATTGCTAGGATAAAACAGGAATATGCATCAGGGGATCTGGGAAATGTAAAAATACTTGACTTGAAATGCTTTTCTTAGATCTCTGCACATGTTGAAGGTATATTGGAACCTAAGAGTAGTGTATATGTGTGTGTGTGTGTGTGTGTGTCTGTGTGTGTGTATGCACATGCAAATGCAAACGTGTATGTGTGTATAGGAGGTATCCTAGTCCAGCTTTTCTCCCAACAGATGCCATTTCAAGCTACCTGTCCAACCGTGGGGTGAGGTATGAAGTAGAAAATATGCTGAGCATGAGGAGATGATGAAAGAGGAGAGCAACAAGAAGAGACAAAAATGCCAAGAAGCTGAAGCAAGTGGGCTGACAATCTCATGGCAGGGCAGCCGTTCCTAGGCAGAAGGAGACTGATTAGAGGATTAGCTGGGATGTGCAGACCAGTCTGTGCCTAGGAATATCCTTTGTTTTCCAGTTTTTTCCATTTAGTGTTCTTTGCTCCCATCCCTTTCACTACTGAGTCCTTCCACTTCATACCTTCATTCTGTCTTGAGGCAATGCCCATCTTAGATGGGGCTACAGTGGCAGAGCTGCTCATAGCAACTAGGTAAGTGGGAAGGAGGGGGTTCCCCTAATTACTTTCCTACCAGACTCTCTTCCAGCCACAGGGCTATCTTGGTCACTTCCTCATCCTTCACTGCACTTCCCACCACATGCCCATCACAATCTCCACACAGCTTCCTTTCCAAGACAGAGGTCCAGTGCCCAATGGAGCTTCCATGCTGAATAAACTGGTCTTGACCTCTTATATTCCAGTGTATTTTCTTGTCTCCAGTGGCAGTCATCCTCAGGAAACTGTGAGCTTACTGAAAGAATGAGAAAAGGGGGATAGAAGTATTGAAACTGTTTTATATTCTGCAGTAGGGTGAGGTAGAAAAGAACCTAGTGGGGAGGTGACTAATGGTAAGAGATAGTGGCTCCATCCCTCATGCCATTTAAAGAAAACAAAGGAGGTGAATAGAGATTGGTTCAGGACTGTGTGAAGCCCAAGGATATTTGAACACTATAGACCAAATGGACTTAGAAGACATATACAGAATAATCCATCCAACAGCAGCAGAATACATTTTTTTTTTTTTTTTTTTTTGTGAGGAGATCAGCCCTGTGCTAACATCCGCCAATCCTCCTCTTTTTCTGCTGAGGAAGACGGCCCTGGGCTAACATCTGTGCCCATATTCCTCCACTTTATATGGGACGCCGCCACAGCATGGCTTGCCAAGCAGTGCGTCGGTGCGCGCCCAGGATCCGAACCAGCGAACCCCGGGCCGCCGCAGCGGAGCGCGCGCACTTAACCGCTTGCGTCACCGGGCCGGCCCCAGAATACATGTTCTTCTCAAGCACACACAGAACATTTTCTAAGATCAATCGTATGTTAGGCCATGAAACAAGTCTCAAAAAATTCAAGAAGATAGAAATTATATCAAGTATCTTTTCTGATCACAATGGAATTAAACTAGAGGTCAATAATAGGAGGAAAGCTGGAAATTTCACAAATACATGGAAATTAAACAACACACTCATGAACAGCCAATGGATCAAAGAAGAAATCAAAAGAGAAATAAAAGAATATCTTGAGATGAATGAAAATGGAAAACAACATACCAAAACTCAAAGGATGCAGCAAAAGCAGATTGAAGAGGGAATTTTTTAGCGAAAAATGCATACAACAAAGATAAATAAAGATCTTAAATAGACAACCTAACTAACTCCTCAAGGAACTAGAAAGAACTAATAAGCCCAATGTTAGTAGAAGAAAGGAAATAATAAAGATTAGAGCAGAAATAAGTGAAATAGAGAATAAGAAAAAAATAGAAAAGATTAGCAGAACTAAGAGTCAATTATTTGGAAAGATAAACAAAATTGACAAACCTTTAGCTAGCCTAACCAAGAAAGAAAGAGGGCCCAAATAAATAAAATTATAAATGAAAGAGGAGACGTTACAACTGATACTACAGAAATACAAGGGATCATAAGAGACTACTATGAAAAACTATATACCAACAATTAGAAGAAATGGATAAATTCATAAAAACATACAACCTACCAAGACTTACTCATGAAGAAATAAAAAGTCTGAACAGACCAATAATGAGTAAGGAGATTGAATCAGTAATCAAAACCTCCCAACTCAGCCACAGACCAGAAGGTTTCACTGGTGAATTCTACCAAACATTTAAAGAATTGACTCCAATCCTTTTCAAACTCTTCCAAAAAATTGAAGAGGAAGGAACAATTCCAAACTCATTTTACAAGGCCAGCATTACCCTGATCCAAAGCCAGATAAGGACACTACAAGAAAAGAAAACTACAGGCCAATACCCCTGATGAATATAGATTCAAAAATTCTTACCAAAATACTAGCAAACTGAATTCAAAGGCACATTAAAAGAATCATACAACATGATGAAGTGGAATTCATCCCTAGGATGGAGGGGTGGTTCAACATATACAAATCAGTAAATGTGATACATCACATTAATAGAATGAAAGATAAAAATCACATGATCATCTCAATCGATACAGAAAAAGCATTTCACAAAATTCAATATCCATTCATGGTATGAACTCAACAATTGGATATAGAAGGAACATATCTCAACAAAATAAAGACTATATATGGCAAGCCCACAGCTAACATCATACTCAACAGTGAAAGGTTTTGCTCTAAGATCAGGAACAAGACAAGTGTGCCCACCCTCGCCGCTCCTATTCAACATAGTACTTGAAGTCCTAGCCAAAGCAATCAGGCAAGGAAAATAAATGAAAGGCATCCAAATTGGAAAGAAAGAAGTAAAATTGTTTGTTTGCAGATAACATGATCTTATATATAGAAAATCCTAAAGACTACAACAAAAAACTGTAAGAACTAATAAATGAATTTAGTAAAGTTGCAGGATACAGTATCACTATACAAAAATCAGTTGTGTTTCTATACACTAACAACAAATTTTCTGAAAAAGAAATAAAGAAAACAATCCCATTTATAATAGCATCAAAAACAATAAAATACTTAGGAATAAGTTTAACAAAGAGGTAAAGGATCTGTACACTGAAAACTATAGGACATTCTTCAAAGAAATTGAAGAAGACACAAATAAATGGAAAGACATCCCATGTTTATGGATTGGAAGAATTAATATTGTTACATGTCTGTAATACCCAAAGTAATCTATAAATTCAATGCAACCCCTATCAAGATACCAATGACATTTTTTACAGAAATAGAAAAGAAAAATACTAAAATTTGTATGGAACTATAAAAGATCCTGAATAGCCAAAGCAATATTGAAAAAGAAAGCAAAGCTAAAGGTGTCACACCTTGGTGTTATACCTGATTTCAAACTATATTGCCAAGCTATAGTAATCAAAACAGTATGGTACTGGCATAAAAACAGGTACATGGACCAATGGAACAGAATTGAGAGCCCAGAAATAAACCCATATACAGTCAACTTATATTTGACAATGGAGCCAAGAATACTCAATAAAGAAAAGATAGTCTCTTCAATAAATGGTGTGGAAAAACTGGATATTCACATGCCAAAGAATGAAACTGGATCCCTTTCTTGTACCACACACTAAAATGAACTCTAAATGGATTAAAGACTTAAATGTAAGACCTGAAATCATAAAACTCCTAGACGAAAACATAGGAAAAAGACTCCTTGAGATTGGTCTTGGCAGTGATTTTATGAATATGACACCCAATGCACAAGCAACAAAAGCAAAAATAAACAAGTGTGACTACATCAAACTAAAAGTCTTCTGTGCAGGAAAGGAAACAATCAACAAAATGAAAAAGCAACCTATGGAATGGGGGAAAATATTTGCAAGCCGCATATCTGATAAGGGGTTAGTGTCCAAAATATACAAGAAACTCATACAACTCAGAAAAAAAAAAAGAAATAATTCAATTAAAAATGGGCAAAGGGCCTGAATAGACATTTTTCCAAAGAAGATATTCAAATGCCCAGCAAGTACATGAAAAGGTGCTTAACATCACTAATCATCAGGAAAATGCGAATCAAAACCACAATGAAAAGTCACCTCACACCTGTTAGAATGGCTATTATCAAAAAGATAAGAGACAACAAGTGCTGGCAAGGATGTGGAGAAAAGGAAACCCTTGTATACTATTGGTGGGAAAGTAAATTGGTATAGCCACTAAGGAAAACAGTATGGAGGTTCCTCAAAATATGAAAAACAGAACTACCATATAATCCAGCAATTCCACTTCTGGGTATATATCTAAAGGAAATGAAATCACTGTCTTAAAGCTATCACTATCTCAAATCACTATCTCATAAGCACCCCTATGTTCATTGCAGCATTATTTACAATAGCCAAGACATGGAAACAACCTAAGTGTCCATCGATGAATGAATGGATAAAGAAAATATGATATATAAATATATATGTAATGGAATATTATTCAGCCATAAAAAGAAGGAAATATTGCCATTTGCAGCAACATGGATGGACCTTGAGGGCATTATGCTAAGTGAAGTAAGTCAGATAAAGAAAGACAAATATTGTATGATCTCACTTATATGCAGAATCTAAAAAAACTAAACTCATTGAAACAGAGAACAGATTGATTTTTGCCAGAGGAAGGGGTCGGGGGTTGGAAAAGTGGGTGGAAGTTGGTTAAAGGGTACAAACTTCCATTTATACTCTGAGTAAGTTTTGGGGATGTAATATACAGTCTACAGTTGACAATATATATTTTTATATTTGAAAGTTGCTATGAGATTAGATTTTAACAGTTATCACCACATACAAAATTTTAACTGTGTGAGGTGATCGACATGGTAACTAACTTTATGGTGTTAATCATTTTGCAATATGTACATATATAAAATCACTATGTTGTACATCTTAAACTTACAAAATGTTATTTGTCGATTATATATCAAAGCTTGAAAAAAAAATGCCCAAGGATTTTCCTTAATAAGAGGCTATGACCTCATTCTTCCTCCACTTTCCAACCCTGGAACCCTCATGTTTCTACTCTGCCGCCCTCTCCTCCACCCCTTTTCCTTGAAATACCGTGTTATAGGATTGGAACTCACCATTAGTAATGTAGAAGTACAGAATTTCCATTCCAACTTCTTGGGAGCTAGAAGGTGGGAGAGTCCTTCATAGTGGAGATGTGTTTCTAGGAACCCAATCCAGAACTCTAAGCACATTTTCTTAGGATGAAGACAAAGCTATCCACATGATCTTGGAGCTCTCACCTGGCCTCATTTTATGCCTGGCTACTCCTAGCTCTCTGCACCCAGTCTCACTGGCTGCCTGTCAGTCCTTCCCATCAGGCCTCTGCCCTGCTGTTCGTGCCCTTGGCCTGGAGAGTTCCTACCTCCCTGTCTTCAGCTGTTTAACCACCACAAGCATGGTCTCTGGAGGGATGCTATCCCTGACCCCCATGATCAGACCAAACCTCATTACCAGCTCTCGTGGCACTATGTGGCTCTCCTTCACAGCCCTCATTACAACTGCAGCTTTTGTTTATTGGGATTATTATTTTATTAATGTTAGTGTCTGGTTTTGCTCGCCCCTATGTCCCTAGCTCCCAACAGTGTCTGACGAATGTTAGAGTCAATAAATTCTCGTTAAATGAAAGCATGCATTTTCCTGTAAAAAAGATGCTCTATTTTCATTATAAATTAAATCACTTTTGGGCTTGTCCAGACAACAGAATTACAATGTATGGTATTTTCTCACTGAGAATATGAATTATATGTTCCAAATGGGAAAAAACTGGTTTTTCCTTTCAGTCCTTATATTTCATCCTAGGGATTTTTTTTTCTTCTTTTCTTATAAGTGTTTTTGCTTATTATAAAGAACCAGGATTTTGGTGTTTGCGTTGATCCTCCTTGCAGTCATCCTAGGATAATGTTTCTTCAAATGGTCATCTTTCTTCTTAGGGGACCATCCCTAAGACTGTTGGATGACTCAGAGCAAATAATCAAACTACTTAGTGACCGATCGTTGGTACTTCAGGATTAGTCTATAAAAATGAATAATTAGATGTATTGATTCATTTTTTTCATCCCCACTCCCAAACATAGCAATTCACTACTGTCTAGACTCTGAGTTACCAGAGGATTGGGACCATATGGCAGCCCTCTCCCCTCACTGTCTAGTATGGACATGCTGAATGAATACACATGGCGTTGAAATGAATCACACATTTCCCTCACTTTGCTTTGGCTGATAACTGATTGGAGGGTTCATGATCACCACCCCAGCCTTTAGAGGACTAGTCAAAAAATATGGCTAGAACATCTGAACACTTATATAGCACTAAGATCACCAAGGAGAATAAGAGACTGAGGGACATTTTTTAAATGGTGTGCTTATAATCATTAAAGTAATACATGCCCATGGTAAATAAACAATAAAGCAATATAAAAGGTCATAAAGTTTTTTAAAAGTCTCTTCCCATCTAAAACACCCAGTATTCCTCTTGAGAGGCAACCACTGCTGAGTTTCTTGTGCATTTTCCAAAAAAAAGAAATATTCACTGCATGTGTAAGTCTATAAGTGTAACCAAATTTATCAGTATTTTTCTGCATGGTTTCCAACTTAGGAAGGCCTTCCCACTTAAAGATTATTTTTAAAAGTTCTCCCAGGTTTTCTTCTGGTGACCTAGTCACATTTTAAACACACACACATATGTTAAACCATTTATTTATATATGTTTGTATACATATACATATACATACATATATACACACATATATGCATAAACATACATATATATAGTATATTTGTTTTTATGATAGTATATGTATACTATATGTATACTATATGCATATGACATATACTATACTATATGTAGTATACTATATGTGTGTGTGTAAATGTGTGTATATATGTATATACATATACATATAATAAAGCCTTTATATGCCTAAGCTACTGTATAAGAAATAGTATATATTTTACTATAAAAAGTATAAGTACATGCTTGTACCTATGTATGCATACTTATTTGAAGAAAAACAAGAATTGCTTAAAAATGATTTGGGGGATATACATAACTTTACACAAGCATCTAATTAATTATTGTCCATTTCTTTCATGAATGATCCCGAATTTTTTTATTTCTTTAGACTTGATAATTGCAAGGCAATATTTTTCGATTATTACTTACAGGCATATCTAATAGGTGTTATGTATTATCTCTATGTGTATGTATGTATATATACACATATATATTATATATAGTAGAAAATATATTACCTATTATGTGTGCTTGTTCTTGTGTATGAATGTGAGAGAATCTGATATGTGTGTTTCTATATCTCAGGTTTTTTTTTTTTTTTGTGAGGATAACGTCCATGCTAATCCTCCTCTTTTTGCTGAGGAAGACCGGCTCCAAGCTAACATCTATTGCCAATCCTCCTCCTTTTTTTCCCCCAAGGCCCCAGTAGATAGTTGTATGTCATAGTTGCACATCCTTCTAGTTGCTATATGCGGGACGCGGCCTCAGCATGGCCAGAGAAGTAGTGCATCAGTGTGTGCCCAGGATCCGAACCCAGGCCACCAGTAGCGGAGCGCACGCACTTAGCCACTAAGCCACGGGGCCGGCCCTCAAACAGTTTTAATATAGCCTCTAGGAAAGTGTTAGGATGTTAAGATTTTCTTTTTTAATCTTCTTGCTATTGAATAATTGTGTTCATTTATTCATCTATTCTTTACAAGATAATGACAATGAGATTTTTCCACTAAAACAAGACCTATTGTACCTAATCCCGCCCCCACAAATGAGCAAATCATGTAATGTGAGAATAAATTAATAGTGCAGCCCTTCAACAGTTGTAGCTCAGGTATTTCTAAAGTGCAATGTGATTTCTTAGAATTATGAACATTGATGTCAGTTTGTCGATGATTTTCTATAAGTGCAAAATGTTATTGCATCCATCTCATTCACCATCTGAAAGCAAATTTGATTATGAGACATACAGGGCTTGACAGCTAAAGACATTTCCTCACTTATCAATCTATTCCTATAGGGCATTGTTACAATTATAAAACGTCATCTCTTCTATGAGGGGATAAGTAACATGTTATTTTGCAATAGCTATCAATGTGAAATTGCATATTATTTTTTGGAAATAAAAGGAAAAGAGATGGCATGCCTACATGCGTTTTCTATTCTCTCACCATTAGCACATTCTAAACATCTCAGAGGGAGTCAGAGATACGCTTCCCTTTGGGCTTTTTCAGGTGAAGTATGGAATGAACTCTTTCACACCTTTCATTTGTGCTGTTAAGACTTAAATCAGAAGTACAAAGCATTTTAAATCCACAGAATAAAAAGCAAACCTCAGAGTGGCTTTCCCTCCTATTGTGCTTGCCAAGAAGGCCGGGACACACGTGAGCAAGTCTCTTGAAGGGTGGTAAATAAAAAAATAAGCCACCTTTGACCCCTTCCCCATCTTTAAAACACACTTGAGAATGAGTTCCTTCCCTCCCAGGCTATATTCAGTTTGCTCTGGGGCTGTCAGCCCTGTAGAA